TTTTTTTTTGTTTACGCAAAGACGGGCAGGGCAGTGTGACTTTACCGAACCCGAAGCCATACTCCTGGTGAAGTCGTATAGACACGATTTGTGATATGATTGGCTAATTATTTATCTAATGCGATTTCTATAATAATAATCGATATTTCTTCGAAGTATCAAAGATAACTCTTTACCCCGTTTTAAGCGTGATGATAATCCATCGCAAAAGGTCAATTTTGCAGGTACCAATTTATGAAAAAAGCGTTTTGGTTTTGTTCGTGTTTCGACAGGTAATCTGATTCCTGGGATATTCTACAGATTTGAGGGCCTGGTTTTTTTTCTATTAATGCACAATACTGCAGATTACCCGTATTAATAACGTTCTTATTTTCTTGGTTGCATGGCTACTAACCGTGAGAATAACAACCATGTAGAAGAAAAAAACGAAATCATTATATTCTTCTTCTGCACGATGTTTTTAAACACACAACATAGCTGTACGATTCATACAGCTATACAGTGTGAACGATACCATACGGCAATGTCAACCAGTCGATTTTCCGGCTGCAGGATCGATACCATGATCGGGAGTGTGAAGAATCCACCCACGATGTAGGGGTTAGACGGGACGCTATTTATGCACTATCAGAGGAATTCTAACAGCTGGTTACAACATATTGATATTTTGTAATCCAAACCAGTCGATATGACAGGGAATTCAAACCCCGAGCTTCGCATATTGAGGGGACTTCCATATGGTGAACTTGTATTCATGTTGTACATAAACCTGGGAATTATATGAACAGTGAGCTTGGAGCACATTCAAATCGCTTGCCATTCCCCAATTCGACAGGAGTGCACACTCACAGCGACGTCAAATATCACATCGATGCGCCTCTACTCCATCGTACTAACAATACCAGCTGTGGTGTACTTATCACGCGTCGACAGTGTCTCGGCGGCTGACACCACGAAAGCGTTTACCCACAGTCGTTCAGCGGTCGTTGATCATCAAAACACTAACCAGAGATACTTGAGGGCCTACGCCACAACGGTCAAGAATGGTGAAGAGAGAGTCTTCGAAGCCCTATTAAATGCTGCTAAGGCGTACAAAATCAACACCAAGCTGAACGCATTTTTGAGTAAAATGGACGATGGAGTTGGCGTCTTGAACAGCTTGAAGCTTGGAAATGACGTCGTGAGTGCTTTGACACACAAGAAATTAACGCAATTGACGACGTATATCGCGATGTTTAACGAGAACAACCTGGACAAGACTATCTCGTTGATCGGAGTTCTCACGGCCCGCTACGGAGACGATGCTGTGGCGAAATCGTTAGCCTATTTGGAGAAGTACGCTGAATCCCCTCAAGTGGTGGAGTTGGCGAAGCAGCTGAGGAAAGACCAGTTGTCTTCTTGGTTGAATGACGGTAAATCTGTTGATCACGTTTTTCAGCTACTGAAGCTTGGCGACGAAGGGGTTACAGTATTTGCAAACCGAAAATTTACCGTACTGGAAGATTACATCACCAAGTTTAACAGCGAGACGAACGGCCATGCAACTTTGCTCAATACCTTGCTAAAAGGTTTCGATGGCGAGAGCAACTTAGTGACAATACTGTCGCATGCAAAGCGTGATCTGGCTACTGAGCAGCTGGCCAGGAAACTCGAGAAGGAGTTACTCGGACAATGGCTTCAAAGGGATTTGGAGCCAGAAAAGGTCATGATGCTGCTAAACCTTGATAACCATGTCGATGTTGTTCTGAAAAGTGAAAACCTTAGGACGTTTGAGAAGTACATCGCCGAGTTTAACGGGAAAAACTCTAACAGCCAGTTGTCGCTGCTGGGGATGCTAACGGAGAAGTTTGGAGAGGTCGGAGTTGCAAAAGCAATTGTATCTGCGAAGGAGAATTCCAACTCGGCGTGGGTCGCGAATAAATTGCAGAAACAACAGTTGCAAGGCTGGCTGGATAACGGCATGACGGTGGATGATCTTTTTACCCATCTGAAGTTAAAGACCGATGATACCGCAGTATTTGGTCGAAGCTTGAACACACTGGACGACTACGTCAAGTTATACAACACAGCGAATGCGAAAAAGGACACTCTGATGGGCGTATTGTTGAGAGAGTTCGGCGGTGAAAGCGCGTTGGCCAACAAGCTTTCGCAAGCGAGAGTGTACACTGAGACACATGCAAAGGCCACAAAATTGCTGACAATGCAATTCCAGAAATGGAAGAGTGGGGGTTTGAATCCGACGAACCTTGTCGCCAAGTTATCAGAAAAAGCTGAAGATGGTGCTCCCAAGCTCAAGAAAACTGTAGTAAACGAGTTTAAGAAATTCCACGAGGGCAAGAAGCTGCAGTGAGCAGTTCTTATCGAATAAAAAAACCGTTATTGCGTCTTTTCTCATCGTCAGCCCCCTTTAACGACAATCGTTTGGTCACGTAGTCGGAATAGCACCAGGCATTAAGCAATACAGTGATTGAGGTGGTGGGACGTAGACGTATTTGCTGAATACAAGTGCGTACCTCGACAATACCCCCCCCCCCCCCCCTTCTTCTCTCCGAGCTACTTTCCATTTATCGGGGCTTCTCCATTCAGTATGGGTTAATTGTATTCTCTACAGCTGCTATCTAATTCACCTATTGCACTACTTATTAACCCGTTTGTACCAACTACTTATTTGATACATGTTTCAAAGCGATAAGCAAATTTTGTAGGCATACATATAATCTATTCGATACGCGGCATTCGTTGCTGTGCATCTGTGCCGTATTAATTAGCTTGCGCTGCAGCCAGGAATGCCCAAAAATAAAGATATTTGAGAATAAATTGGTCCATTTTGTACCAATAACTCATTGAATGAAAAAAGCGAGAGCTAACACAATATTTATTTTCCGATTTCGTAAAACGGGAGAATTCAGTTCATTTTGTTAGCAAACTTTCAGGTATTCATTGCCTACATGCTTTCCGATAGGGCGAATAGCTCAGTCCGTATCGCGCTTGCATCACTACTTTTTAAAAGAAAACTAGTTTTTCTAGCATAATAATAATAAACATGGAGACTCCAATTTTTTGGATGTTTTTTTTCCTGAGGTATTATGCATATTTGCATTTGTCCTAGATGCTTCTATCATTCATAAAAAGTTATTACTTGGAATCCAATCGCAACACTCGTTACACTGTATCTTGAAGTACTAGTTTAACAGCATATTAACTAATAAGTGTAAGTAACGTTACAACCGCGCTCTTTAGCACTAAACATTTTCTACGCTTTTGGCGAGATTGTTTGGCAGCATAGGTTTGGGTTCTGTTCTGCAACCCGTTTGGAAGCGTTTTGTATGCCATTGCTGAACCTAACTCGGCCAGGGGATTAATGTGACGTAACCGTCTGTTGGATATTATCCTTCGTCTGTTGGATAATATCTGCTAGGAAACTTCTGACATTCAGATGTCAATTTCTACTTTACATTTCAGCCAATGATGTGGCTTAGAAATCTTAACCCTTTCGCGAACGGGTACTTTTGACCTGGCTATATTATAATATAAAAGGTCAAGTCATTAGACCAT